AAAATTTTTTTTAGCTCCATGACTCGCCCCAACCAGGGAGCTGTAATGAGCTCCCTGCCCCAACCTAGTATTGCCAAATAATTCAAATACGATTGTTATCGATGGACACAGACCATTGTTACTATCCGTTAACTGGCTAATTGGGTGAATTTTGCGCCTGTTTTATTGAATAATACCGGGTTTGTTAACGATTATGTCAACTGCTACAAACAATCAACACAGCTTCATGTTTCAGAAGACACTACATCATAATAATACAGTCTTGTATGTCGTCAAACTATTCTCTACACGAGGTATTCACGTTTTCTTTTCTCTTTTTTAGCGTCTTAATTTTCTCGTAGCTAACACATCTGTCAACAATTTTTCTGTTCCTAAATCTATGGTGAAAAGAGTAGAGAATACAATTTCGGATGTCAGAGGATTGTCCAATCAGACTGCGCGAATTGACGGTCTCTAAAGCTGGTCTCAGACACGGTCTCATTCCCGGTCTATGTGGCATCCGAGAGTCTCTAAATCGGTCTCAAACACGGTCTCAAATGGCATGTTCCTCTGTGGGAGAGTCTCAAAACTGGTCTCAAATGCCTTCTAGAGGGTACCGTACATACCTCCAAAATTAGGGTTTCCAGAAATGTAAGAAAAAAATGCAGAAAAATTTGGTTTGAGAAAGTCTGGTTGTGAAAAGGTTAATATTATTTTAGTTGAGTTCAATTTTAATTGCTGAAGCTGCTCAATACTAGCACATAAGTTGGGATCAACAACATTTTTATAAGCTTTTGGACACAACGTTTTCCATATTTTAGTGCACTTGTCATTCAGATCTGTAATGAATGGTAAAAATCATACTAACATTTGCCGGGAAAAATTATGGTATACGATGAGTTTAAAAATTTAGCTTGTACAGTATCATACAATCTTCAAACCAGGGGTATGGATGGATGGATGGATGCATGTCTGTGTGGCTTCATAGTACAGATTCAGTATATGAACCTTGTTCTGACGAAAGAAATGAAATTATTGTGAAATCATCTGAAAACCAATGAAATTATTGTGAAATCATCTGAAAACCAATGAAATCGTTCATGGTACCGGTAGTTACTTTTAACCACCAGCTCCCTCTTTTCTTCCTAAATTCACAAAACAGTCCTGTTTATAGTCTGCACTTTCCTTCGAAAAATTGGTGCAAAAATATCCAAATTTTTTGAATAAAAACTGAAAATTGACTAAAATTTTGTCTATTGACTCCAAAATTCAGGTTCATTTCCGGAAATATTATTAAAAAAATTGGGCGAGAAAGTCTGATGGTGAAAAAGTTGATGACAATTCCGGTGAAATCTTTTCTCACCTAAAGCTACTTGTAAGACTGTACCTGATTGGCTACCCAACCCTAACACTTAACTGCCAACCCAATCAATGACAGGCTTTTTAAATGTATCAAAATTCTGCCTTGTATATCTGCTTCGACTCAGATTTGTTTATGTGCTATAACTTGTGGTACCAGGTACCCCATGTTTTATTGCTCACTAATGGCCGTCACATTCTGATGTACCTCGCTCTTATATCTAGTACTGATTATTTCTAGCAATGCTGGCACCACCAACTAATTTACATGCGCCTATGAGTAGTATAACTGAACGAAGTGTACACCTATACTGGACAGCACCGGCTCAGTCGTCAAATGTGAAGGTAGGTATATGAGGCTCTCTTCCTTCACTCATAATCATTTCATTGAAATGTACATATTTTTTTAGAATCAGGTTTTATAAGTCATTACACATGTGACAAAATTGAAATGTCAAGTGATTCACCGCAAAACAATTGCACATGCACTACCAATGTTGCATCATGTTTTTTTGTTAGTCCCTGTTCGGCAATATCTCTCAATATGTACTTGTTTAACAATCAGATACACTATGATTTGATGTCACTGTTTGGGTATTTTGAAAATATTCACTAAACCAGGCTGTAAAACCAATGAAACAACAATTTACTGTAAACTGATTAATTTTCGTTGCTATGAACTTGCTAGTTCAAACCAATTTTACGAGGGTGTGCCGCCCAGCTAAATGCATTCATTTATGAGGGTATTAGAACACCAGGCATTTATTACTGTCAGTACATATATTTTGTTTGGATAACCATTTACTATAAAGCAATTTATCTGATTGAATGAAATAAATTAAAAGGCAATTGCATTGTGATTGATTTATGTTCAATGTGTGTGCGTCCACCACTATTAGTTTAACGTCTCCTGTTGAGGTTGGTTTGACCCAACTTTTTCTGATTGTGTAACAATCACCAGGCGCGAATAGCAAACCGGTCAGCAACATAGGCGACAATGTTACTGTTTTGGTTTTCGAAACATTAAAACTAATATATTGTCTTTATTATTTATCTAGGGCTATAGAATCTACTATAACACGTGTTACCTCACGAGTTGTGACACTAAACAAACCACCACCACTCAAACTGATGTAACAGGTAATACGAAACGAATTGTAGAATGTACATAAGACAATATTTTGAGTTTTGTGAAAATTATTGCTCATTATTGAGTTGATTGTAACAGTCAACGTAGGTAGGCAGAAATGTTTATA